AAAAAAAAAAAAAAAAAAAGACCAGCCTAAGAAAGAGTGAGACCTGTCTCTAAAAATTGCCAGGTGTTGTGGCAGGCACCTTATAGTACTAGCTACTCCAGAGGCCAAGGCAAGAGAATTGCTTAAGCCCAAGAGTTTGAGGTTGCTGTGAGCTGTGATGTGATGGCACTCTACCAAAGGCAACAAGTGAAACTCTGTCTTGAAACATTAAAAAAATAATAATAATAATGGTTATTGAAAATTTTGATAGGGCAGCGCCTGTCGCTCAGTGAGTAGGGCACCGGCTCCATATACCGAGGGTGGCAGGTTCAAACCTGGCCCCAGCCAAACTGCAACAAAAAATAGCCGGGTATTGTGACAGGTGCCTGTAGTCCCAGCTATTCCGGAGGCTGAGGCAAGAGAATTGCCTAAGCCCAAGAGCTGGAGGTTGCTGTGAGCTGTGGCGCCAAGGCACTCTACTGAGGATGACAAACTGAGACTCTGTCTCTAAAGAAAAAGAAAAAAGAAAGAAAAAAGTTTTACAGACCTTTATTTATTTATTTATTTTTTGAGACAGAGCCTTAAGTGGTCTCCCTGGGTAGAGTGCAGTGGCTCTCACAGCTCAAACTCTTGGGCTTAAGCAATTCTCTTGCCCCAGCCTCCCAAGTAGCTGGAACTACAGGTGCCTGCCACAACGCCTGGGTATTTTTTTGTTGTTGTTGTGTGCAGTTGTCATTGTTTTACCTGGCCCAGGCTAGGTTCGAACCCACCAGCCTCAGTATATGTGGCCGGTGCCCTACCCACTGAGCTATGGGTGCTACCAGAACTTTAAATTTTGATTGAACTTTAAAGTTGCAAAAGTAATTTGTACTCCAAATACCCTTTACCCAGATTCTCTGATTGTTCACATTGCTTCATTTACTGTGTCATTCACATCTGGGAAGTCATAACAGACACCATGTTCCCTCACCCCTATATTTTCCAGTGTGATTTTCCTGAGAACAGTGACATACGCTTGCATAACCACGTCACAGTGATCAAAATCAGGAAGTTTATCAGGATATACTGTATTTTTCCTTGCCTGGCTAATTTCTGTTTCCTCCCATTAGAATGATTTTAATTTTTAGCATTTATATCTGAGACTATATATATAGTATAACTATTAAGCTTAAGGGGAAGAAGTTTTTGAAAATGTGGTAGCAAAGAGAGAGATTGGGCAGTTTTAGATCCTAAGGTACCATCCTATTTCTATTTCTCAGGCTCTATCTTGTTCCTGTATATGGTTTGCTGAAGTGTGTTGGAATGTAATTCACTTCCTTGCAATTTGCCCATTTAAAGTATACAATTCAGTGATTTTTAGTGTATTCATAGGTATGTGTAAACATTATCAAAGTCAATTTTCATTACCCCCAAAAGAAAACTGCACCCCTAACTACCTATATTCCCTTCCCCCTTCTCTGATAAGCTTTAATCGAGTTACTTTGCCTGGATATTTCATATAAATGAAACCCTGCATATGTAGTCTTAGCATTGTCAGCACTGTGTGCTTCCTTCCTTGTTATGGCCATTGGGTGGATGTGTCCACTGGTTTATCCATTCATCAGTTGATGGACACCTTAGTTGTTTGTACCTATAAGCTATTATGTATGAAACATGCTACTTTAATCATTGTAGTAGCTTTGTGGTATGGTCTAGTATCTGCTGGGACAGATCTCATCCCAGTGCTAAGATTCATTCCTTTAAGATTTGTCCCATTTCTTTCTTTTTTTTTTGAGACAGAGTCTCAAGCTGTTGCCCTGGGTAGAGTGCTGTGGCATCACAGCTCACAGCAACCTCAAACTCTTGGGCTTATGCGATTCTCTTGCCTCAGCCTCCCAAGTGGCTGAGACTACAGCTACAACGCCCAGCTATTTTTTTTTTTTT